TTGGCAGAGAAAACACTGTACATTTGCATTGGAATTTGAGAACTCGTGTTCTGGGCACAGTAGAAACCTCCTTGCATGGATAGTACCACCCCTCTAATTCTCTCGTTGTCTTTTCTAGGGTTCTCGGTGCTGCTAGCAACGTTTGTTTTTGAATTCCAGTTCAATCAGAAGCCCGTGGAACCAGCACGGAAATGGGCTTTTTATTTGACTTACATCATTTGCATTCTCTGCTTTTTGACAGGTGGGTGGTTTTTTTTTTTTGTAAAAAGTTTTTATTTTCAATTTTACAATACATTACAATCTTAAAAATACTTCAGATAAAAAATAAAACAAATTGATACACACAACTTACGGTATTGCTCACCCATTTCCCCCCAAACCAACTTGCCTCTTTCCCTCTTCTTCCTCTTCCTCACTCATCCCATCTCCTCCATCTCCTCAACCTTCCTACTTGCTTCTCCCCTTCTTCTTCTATCTTCTCACTCCGGATGTGGTCCAGGGGAAATGCCCGAGCAATTCCTCTCTCCAAATTGAAACATCAATATTATATACAATAAAACTATTTCTACTTATCTGAACTACTTAAACTTCAACCCATCCTCCCCCCACCCCCTCCCCCCACCCCGACTTCCCAGAGCCAAGTACAGGGTTATACAAACATATTAAACATAATCTATTTAAGTTTACTAATTATACAATAACCAAAATCATACTAACCCTTAACTTTCTTCAAACTTTAACATCATAAGTTTATAAACAAATTCATTACTCATAAAATAAATGAAACCTTGTAGTTCCATACTTCTTCTGAACATATTCTATCCATCTTCTCCATACATTAAAATATCTTCTTGTGAATGATCCTTTAAATAAGCAGAAATTTTAGCCATTTCTGCTAAATTAGAAACCTTAAATACCCATTCTTCTAAAGAAGGCAGAGTATCCTTCTTCCAATACTGACCCACCAATAATCTTGCTGCTGTTATTAAATTCAACATTAAGATAGTTTCTTTGGCATCAAAATCCACAAAAATACCCAAAAGAAACAACTGGGGAGTAAACTTAATCTTCCTTTTAAAAACCTTTTGAATGTTCCACCAGGGTGTTTGTTTGATTATCACATTTATATAGCTGTCCATCTCACAGTACAGTGACTCTTGGGGGCTTTAAAATAAAAAGAATCATAAAATCTATATGTTAAATACAATTTGAAGATATTGACCATATTCTTGATACCAAGACAGTTGAGAAAACAGGTGTTAAAAACAATGCATCAATCATCATCAAATTGCCGTTTTCTTGATCTCCCCTGGCCTGCTGACCCAGCCATATTTTGAGGGACTTGCTGAAAAATGTCAAAGATGCGGCCAATCTCACTCATTGGGGGCTGGGCAGAGAGATATTCCATAGGGTGCCACAGCAAAAAAGGTCCATTTCCTGGGTCCATCAGAGGAAACTCTTCTGCAGACAGGGCCTATAGCATACATCTCCTGCCAGATGATGTATTGGTTGGAGGTGGTCCCTCAAATGTGGTAGCAATGAGAGCAGTTCCTGGAGAAACCGTCTGTCTCACAATCCTATTCCTCTCCATCTCACCCAGAGATACCGCTAATAGAACAGAGCAACAGAGTTGGAAGGGGACCTTGGAAGTCTTCTAGTCCAACCCCCTGCTCAGGCAGGAAACCCTATGTCATTTCAAACAAATGGTTGTCCAACCTTTTCTCTAAAAACTCCAGTATTGGTGCATTCACAACTTCTGGAGGCTAGTCATTCCATTAATTGTTCTCACTGTCAGGAAATTTCTCCTTAGTTGGAGCAACCCCTGGTTACTTCCAGTGGTGGGATTCAGCCGGTTCCCACTTTGGCAGAACCGGTAATTATTTTTTTGTTGCTCAGGCCCAGAATGGACTTCCGGAAGCGGCATCCATGCAGAGAACTAGTTGTTCACATATCTGAATCCCACCACTGGTTGCTTCTCTCCTTGATTAGTTTCCATCCATTGCTTCTTGTCCTGCCTTGGAAGACAGGTTGACCCCCTCCTCTTGTTGAAATGACAGAAAGCTCATTCAGTGATACTGTTTGTGTAATATGAGTACTCCTTGAATTATAACCATTCACTCAGCAACTGTTTGAAGTTACAACAGTGCTGAAGGAAAGGACTTAGTGATCTATGAGGCTTTCTGATGAGCAGCTTTGGGTTAATGAAGGGAAAAACTGGGGAAGCCCTGCGCTAAGTCATCCGCTCGTCTCCAGAACAGAAGAATTCCTATCAGTCTTTAGAGAAGAGCTTGACTTCCTCTTTTTTGTGGCAGCCCCTGAGATATTGGAACACGGCTATCATGTCCCCCCCCCTTGTCCTTCTCTTCATTAAACTAGACATTCCCAAATCCAGCAACCGTTCCTTATATGTTTTAGCCTCCAGTCCCCTAATCACCTTTGCTGCTCCATTGTTGCTCTTCTCTGCACCTTATCATCCTTGTTGCTCTTCTCTGAGCTATCCTGGCATTAATCTCCAGACTGGTTTAAGAAGACCTACAAGATCTTCCTCTCAACCTAAGCTAGTTTTGCCTCTTTTTCTCCCAGGAATCTATAATCTACTGAATTACAAGTGGGCGCTTTGGGGGACACGATTGCCAGTCGTGGAAAAGACTGAAGAGACGCATGAAAGAGAACCTGAAGTTACCCCAACTTTACTGCTATGAACAGCTGACCTTTCTGCATTGGAATCCATTTGGACCCCGGGCATTGTAGGGGGCAGAGAATTCCCACCCCCAAACAGGGGAAACTTTGGGCTGTCATCACATTTTTCACTTCCATGCCATATAAAAACAATAATGCAGTTTTCTCTATTCTGGGAAATATTCCACAACTCCTTTACTTTTTATTAAACTTCCCTGCAATGTATTGTTCTACATAAATATTTATTATTTCAATGCTGTATTTTTTTCAGTCCTGTGTACTTATTAAGGTATCCTCTTACACAAAATACACACTCAGCTTTACATTATCGTTCAACTTTGCTCATCACACAACTGTTTGTTTATTTGTTTACTTATTTCTGGGTAGCTCATAACAATAATAAAAATCAGAAAAGGCAAAGATATGTGTTCTAAGTTATGTGTTTCTAAAGACATATCATGCATTAGTTTTCCAGGGCTGCAGTTCTGTTTCCAGAGAGGTGTCTGAATGGGATTATAGGTAGTCCTCAATTTACAACTGTGAGCCCAGAATTACAGTTGTAAATCATGCTGATCATTGTGGGTGATCACATTATCAACCCAATTAAAAGAGGGAGGGAGGGAGGGAAGGAAGGAAGGAAGGAGGGAGGGAGGTGGGAGGGAAGGAAGGAAGGAAGGAGGGGTGTGTATGTGTGTGTGTGTGTGTGTGTGTGTGTGTGTGAGAGAGAGAGAGAGAGAGAGAGAGAGAGAGAGAGAGAGAGAGAGAGAGAGAGAGAGAGAGAGAGAGAAAGAGAAAGAGAGAGAGAGAGACTTTAAAATTTCCAAGGTCCGTAATGTATAAGAATTAATATCTCTACATTCTAAACAACGAAGTATTTCCTTATTCATCCATCCATCCATCCATTCATTCATGTATGTATTCCTTCCTTCATTTTAAGCAGATTTACAGAGGCCCAAGTGATGAGACATTCCGGACACCCTTACCTTATTTGGATTTATTTCAGATATTTGCCACAAACTATTTTATTACCAAGAAACCGATGGAAAGAATTCATTGAGCACCAACACAACCCATTGTGATCTAGACCTCCTTTGGCTTCAAAACCCAGAAGCCAGCATGGCCTTGGAATAACCCTGATTTAGACTCCAAGAATTAGAAACAGCGATAGTGGACAAAAACTAAATTAGATTAAATTTCAATGTTAAATAAATTGAAGTTTCAATTTCGTGTAAATAATATTAATTAAAGTATTAATAGGATTGTTCTTCAGGTTTGCATTTAGTCATTTTCCTCTACTATCACATTAATACTGACAATCTGATGGAACCCTTCGGAAAACTCAAGAGTCTGGGGGGCTTGAACTTGTAAACCCTAAGCAAACTTTTCACCTGTACAAAAGCTTTACAGAAATCTAGAGGTCTATCACTTCACTTCGGCTGCCACTTAGCACTGATAAAGCTATATGGAGTTCTATCCTCGGTTCCACTTCTAGGACTTACATGAGTGGTGGCGAACCTATGGCACGGGTGCCAGAGGCGGCACTCGAACCCCTCTCTGTGGGCACGCGGACCATTGCCCCAGTCCTAGGCCTTCAGCTGGGTTTTATAAAACCTTTTTGCTTTAGGCCTCCACCGCCATGTGGAAAAAAAAAAGGTCCAATCAATCAGTCAATTTCAATTTCTTGTGGGAAAAAAAAGATCTTGCAAAGTTGGAATTGATTGTTTGAACTTTTTAATCCCACCCAGTCTGCCGTTACCACCACAGCCACACCCAGCCAATGGGCCACGCCCACCCAATGGGCCACACCCACCCGGCACCCAACGATGCATAAGTGGGTTTTGGGTTGCAGTTTGGGCACTCGGTCTCTAAAAGGTTCGCCATCACTGACTTACATTCACAGATGTCTCTACAAAATGGCAAGCTGAATGAAATGATTGAAGTCCTGCACTAAGTCTATGGCGATTAATGAATTTTATGCTTCCTTTTTATTGAAAATTTTTATAAACTTTTTACAGTAAAATACCTCCCCCCCTCCCACCCCATAACCCTCCCCCCTCCTTCCCAGAGCTGAATACAGGGTTAAAGAAACAAAAAAAAACATACAAATTAAATGAACATCAATCCACTATACATACATCCCAAAAAAGTTTAAAGTACTTTAACTCCAATACTAATTTTATGCTTCCTTTTAAAAACAAACTATGTAATCTTATTCCCAGGCAGTAACTTCCCTGCATTCTTGTAGATACGGTTGTAGATACGGTTCTAGTAGCAGAATCACCATTCCATGACAGTTGGAACCCAGGATGAAAGACGACAACTAAAACTGTCACCACGGAGAAGAAACCAAGAAAGATCTCTCTTTGGGTTTTCCCTTCTTCCACACCTTTCTTCCCTTCCCATCTTGTCTCTTTATATGTTGCTTTCCGTCACGCCTATGTCTTCCTGCAGAGATACTCAGCAGACAAAGGAAGGAGCTGAAGACCACCCTAACAGAGGGCCTCATGATTTCCTACAAAAGCATCAGTTTCATCCTTACCTTCTTTAATTTTGTGTTCCTCCTAATTGTTGTGTTTTCCCCCTGCTGGTTTACACATTATGCACATGTAGATCTGTATTATATGGGCCTCTGGACCATCTGCTCAGAAAAATTTGTCTGCCGAGTTATGAAAGATGCTGATGGTAAGGCCTACCGGGTAAAATGAACTTAAAATTGCCTATTTTAGTTGAAATGCAGGTGTGGAAGTGCGGTGCCACAAAACCTCTTCTATGTAGATGGGTTTCTTAAGACACTAAACCCATGATTAGAATTAACAAACCACAATTGCTATGTTTATATAATATAACACGCTTCTCCCTCGCTCCAAGCCATATTATAGTTTAATGCAACGGGCTGATTTACCTGACATGCTAAGTCAAGAACTGGGTTTTTACAGGAGGTTGAATGACCAAGTACCCAACCTTATTTTAATTAAAGCGAGATTGCTAAGCAAAGCTAGTCTGTATATATGCATGATTTAAAATGAAAATAATAATTGGCTGAATTGAATAAAGGTTTGGGGAGGGGTTATTTTTCAACTACGGAGTCCACGAAATTTCACTGAGATTCACCTGGGTAAAATTTTGGCCACCTGGTTATGAAATGCCAGAATTATTGTCTGGCTTTTCATTTTCTAGTTGAATGCTCTGGTTTTAAAAGATTCTTACAAAGTTTTTCTTTTAAAGTTCTTTATATGTTGTATATCGGTCATATTAGCCACCTACAGACACATCGTTGATGGCCCATAACCTGCAAGATGTCAAGGTCTTCATCGAAATCAATGGACGAACAACAACATATGTAGTTTGCCTTTGAAATTATAGCTAAAATAATTTTTCCACCTCTTGTAGATTAAATAGTCTTTCTTTAAATCAATCTGAGTTCAGTTTTTGAAAGTTCTTTTATATTTCTTAAAAATCTTCCCCCTTTGTAGTTGCTCGCCACCTTTAGATCTTAGTCCTTCTGGGGTTTTTACTTTTTAGCTCTTCCCAGGCAGGGGATCAACGTTTTTAAATCCAAAAGGAAAAGGAAAAAGAACTGGCTCACCCAGTTTCAGCACGCTGTTGACGATCAGCTGTTTGGTGGAGCACCGCAGCTCCTCAATTTTCTTCCGGCTGACGACAACTTGGGCTAACTGGGCACACCCAGCAGCCTTTCCTCTGTCCTTTCACATGATTTCTTCAGTCCGCCTGGACTGACCACCATCTGGTCCAGACTCCTGAGACATCCCTCCTTCTTCGTTGCCCCTCCAGGGCAACTTTCTGACCCTTTGGGGTCACCGGGCAGAACGAAATTGGGCTGAGAAGCCGGAGCCCCGGCTTCTTCCACCCATCTCATTGCTCACCAAACCAGAAGCTTTTTGCCCATTTCTATTCACTCCCAGGGTATGTATGTATATATAGGTCTTTGGTTACTTGGGTTTTCTCCCGCATAAAATTGGAAGTGTCTTGGCGACATTTCGACGAAGTCCCATTCGTCATCTTCAGGCTGGTGTTTTCGGCTTTGTGCTTCTAGAAGCACGAAGCCGAAAACACCAGCCTGAAAATGACGAATGGGACTTCGTCGAAATGTCGCCAAGACACTTCCAATTTTACGTGGGAGAAAACCCAAATAACCAAAGACCTACATACAAACACCTGCAAAAACCTCAGAAAACACACACAGAGACACACACACACACATATATACATTTATTAAGGCATTGTATTTCAGACTTCAGAACAGAGACAGATAAGAATACAGGAAGTCCTCAAGTTACCACCACCATTGGGCCCAAAATTTCCATAGTTAAGCAAGATAGTGGTTAATGAGTTTTCCCCTATTTTACAATCTTTCTTGTCACTGTTGTTAAGTGAATCACTGCAGTTGTTAAGATAGTAACATGTTTGTTAAGTGGATCTGGTTTTCCCATTGACTTTGCTTGTCAGAAGGTTGCAAAAGTTGATCATGTGACCCTGGTATGCTGCAACCGCCGTAAATACATGCCAGTTCTCAAGCATCCAAATTTTGATGACATGACCAGGGGGATGGAACAACAGGCATAAGTGTGAAAAATGATCCTAAATCACTTTTCCCAGTACCATTGTAACTTCCAACGGTCACTAAACGAATGGGTATAATTCAAGGATTTCCTGCATCAGAGAGATGGATGGCAGAGTCACCAACAAATATATATAAAGAAACAAAATCAGCATCTTTGCTACTTTGCAGGGAAACCGATACGGCTGAACTAGGAATTATTCTTAATATCTTGCATTCTCTCTTTTTCTCTTCCCCAACCCGTTTTTATTATTATTATTATTTACTTTCAGCCTACATGATCATCTGTCGAGTTCTCTTGATGCTAAGCCTCGTTGCCTCTGTCACGTCTCTGGTGTGGATGTGGTTGGTAAAGAGGAACAAACTCTGTGGTTGTCCTTTCCATTTTCCTTCCCAAGCTTTGACGGCTTCTACCTTGAGTTTCACTGCAGGTATCGCTACAATATACACAATTTGCCTCACACATATATCCTGCTTTTTGCATCATTGTAAATACTCCCAGGGTAGAGTTTCTAGTCAGGTATTGCTACAATATACACAATTTGCCTCGCACATATATCCTGCTTTTTCCATCATTGTAAATGTTCCAAAGGTAGAGTTTCTAGAGAGGGGGAAAATGTTGTTTATAGTTTCTTCACTGTTTTCAAAAGCAGCTCTGTGTAGTTCATTTTTCTGTAGGTGAACTAGATTGTGACTTAGCACAGGTCATCCCCGACTTACAATGGTTCATTTAATACCTGTTCAAAGTTATAACGGCACTGAAAAAAGGATCATTTTTCACATGTACGACCATTGCAGCATCCCCATGGTCATGTGATTTGACTCATATTTAAGACAGTGTGCAGTGTCACGGGGCCATGTGATCCCCTTTTGTGACCTTCAGACAAGCAATGTCATTGGGGAAACCAGATTCACTTAAGATTACTAACTTAACAACTATAGTGATTCACTTAACAATGGTGGCAAGAAAGGTTGTAAAATGGGGCAAAATTCACTTAACAAAATGTTTCACTTAGCAACAGAAAAGTTCAGCTCCATTGAAGACTCCCTGCAGAGTCCTATTTGACTAACAGAGATAAAGTAGTACAGGTAGTCCTCAATTTACAACAGTTCCTTCAACGACCAAAGTTACAACAGCATTGAAAAAAGTTGACATATGACTGTTTTTCACAATTAGGACAGTTGCACATTGGCAACTGGCATGTACTTACAACGGTTGCAGTGTTCCAAGGTCATGGGATCCACTTTTGCGACCTTCTGACAACCAAAGTCAGATTCATTTAACAACCGTTTTACTAACTTAACAGCTGCAGTGGCAAGAAAGGTCATAAAATAGGGCAAAACTCACTTATCCACTGTTTCACTTAGCAACAGAAATGTTGGGCTGAGTTGTCATAGACCAGTGGTGGCGAACCTATGGCTTGCATGCCACAGGCGGCACTCAGAGCCCTCTCTGTGGGCATGCGCGCCATGCCTCAGAGATGGCAACCATCCCTCTTCAACCAGTTGCCCGCTAACTTGCTGAGGTCCCACATGGCCGGATGTATCCCAGTACCCATGCACTCACTGGCCTCTGTGTGCAGGGGCTGATGGTGTCAGGCAGCAGTTGCCCCGGCCCCTGCCTCACCTTGCCCTGTGACAATGGCACCCCCGCCCTGCCTCACCTCACCCCGCAGCACAAGCCTCCTGCCCACTGCCCCACCTGCCAGAGACCCCCTGGATCTCCCCCAACCCTGCCCAGCCCCCAAAGGCATCCCTCCCCCATGAGCAACATTGAGGGGATCACACCCACCTTGGCCACACCCACCCAGTCTGCCATGACCACAGTCACACCCACCCAGTGGGCCACGCCCACCTGGCACCCGATGATAAATAAGTGGGTTTTGGGTTGCAGTTTGGGCACTCAGTCTCTAAAAGGTTCACCATCACTGTCATAGACTGAGGATTATCCGTATAACTAGGGCTAGATTTACCTTGTTTTGGAAAATATTGAAGGTAAGGGTGGAAAATCAAAGGTGGTTTATTTATTGTTTCTCCCATGATGGTATTCACAATGTTGCATGCTATATAAGTGTCCCATATGAACACCATATTATTATTATTTTTTTACTATTCAGATTCTGTAGTAGAATCTGTCTTCTTATGTTTTTTCAGGACTCAGCATGCTGGGTGCCATGTTGATCTTTGAGCTGAGAATTAATGATGAAGAATTAACCCCAGCTCCTAAGAAGAAATGGGCTTTTTATTTAAGCTATGTCATCTTGATCCTGTGGTTCTTTATAGGTGAGTATGACAGGGGTGGGGGAGAAGATTGCGAATAAACAGATAAAATAACGGTTGTGAAATCCATCTTCTGTGTTGGATGATTACAATCCAGAATGTGCAAACCCCACGTAGTAGTTGAGACGTTCTTTTGAGGTGTGTTTGGATCAAAGATAGACCAGAAAAATGAATTTCTAATCATCTAAGTCAGGGGTGTCAAACTGCCGGCCCGTGGGCTGGATGCATCATGCCAAAACTGCACCTGGCCCATTGCCAGCAATGGGGGGGGGGGAAGTCACAATACATTGCGACACGTCACGTGACGTTGCAAGTTTGACACCCCTGGTCTGAGTGCTGTCTAAACCAATTTCCAATGCCCCAGAAAATGAAGGGCTGAAAATATTTGCCTACTTTTTTAAAACGTGCAACTTTTGGGGAGAGAAAATATGGGAAAGAAGATTGTTTCCTTTCACCAAGGTTTTGACCTCCCCTCTCCATCCAGTGCTATCATAATACTGAGATCTGAGGTCATTTTGCCTTTTTATTTTGCCACACAAATTAAAGGAGCTTCCGTAGCTTCCAAAGAGAGTTGAGAGTTTCATAAGGTGCAATGGATACAGAAAGTTTATCCTTGACCTTCATCAATGTTGCAATCAGTTGTTGTCATCCCTGATTTTATTTATTTATTTATTTATTTTGGGGGTGTGTGTCAATTTTTCTTTCAGGTGTATATAACTTAGTGTGTTACAAGTATTCACTTTGGGAGGGCACAGTCTATTCTGGTAAACTTTCTTCATCCAAGATGCAACAGGAAGAGGAACAACTGCAAAGATCCCTTGAACAAATTGACCAGAATCCTGTTTGACCACGGACCTGTGGACAAAATTCTCTCCTTACATGGCAGTTTCTCACAGAGGCCAACGTCTTTGAGGTGTCTCCTTCCAAGGGACAAATTCTAAAGTGGCCATTTGTCAGAAGGATTTGTTTCTTGCTGGAATATTATCTGGACTATAGTATGTTCCGTTTTTTTCACTGGTCCATCCTGGAGAGATTTCCTTCAAGAATATTGAACACGTTTTTCATTAAGCATCCCTTCGCTCAAGGCAATTAATTCTCTTGATACTACTTAGTGGGTATAAGTGAATAATGCTATTGCTTTACTAATAAGAACCTTTTGGTCTGGATATACCACTAACAAGGTTAATGATGTTATGCTGGAATGTATGGTTTATTAATAAAATGTATACAGTATTTTGTGATTTAATGTATGTATGTAATTTCAAACTAGATTTTTATTTCGAAATCTAAAATAAAAAGAGAAATCACAGTTGCAGTGACCTGGCTGATAGTACATGAAAACACAAATATGGATTGGTTATGTACCATCAGGTCAGTACAAGTAGTCCTCAATTTACAATGTTTCATTTAGTGACTGTTCGAAGCTACAACGACATTGAAAAAAGTGATTTATGATAATTTTTCACACGACCTTTGCAGCATCCTCATGATCATGTGATCAAAATTCAGATGCTTGGCAACTGGTTCGTACTTATGACGGTTGCAGTGTCCCAAGGTCATGTGCCTTTTGGTACTGTCCATGGGGTTTGGGTACTGTCCATGGACATACTAAAAAGCAGAGAAATCACCCTGCCAACAAAAGTGCGTATAGTCAAGGCCATGGTTTTCCCAGTTGCAATGTATGGCTGTGAAAGCTGGACCCTAAGAAAGGCTGAGTGCCAAAGAATGGAGGCCTTTGAACTATAGTGCTGGAGAAGACTCCTGCGAGTCCCCTGGACTGCAAGGCGATCAAACTGGTCAGTCCTAGAGGAGATCAACTCTGGCTGCTCTTTAGAAGGCCAGATCCTGAAGTTAAAACTCAAGTTCTCCGGCCACCTAATGAGAAGGAAAGACTCACTGGAGAAGAGCCTAATGCTGGGAAAGATGGAGGGCAATAGAAGAAGGGGATGACAGAGAATGAGGTGGCTGGATGGAGTCACTGAAGCAGTAGGCATGAGCTTAAATGGACTCCAGAAGATGGTAGAGGACAGGAAGGCCTGGAGGAACGTTGTCCATGGGGTCACGATGGGTCGGACACGACTTCGCAACTAAAACAACAAGGTCATGTGATTACTTTTTGCAATCTTTGGCCAAGCAAAATCAGGGGAAGCCAGACTCTCTTACTAACTTATCAACTGCAGTGATTCACTTAACAACATTGGCAAGAAAGGTCATAAAATGAGGCAAATGTCTCAATGAACAACAGAAATTTTTGGCTCAGTTGTGGTTGTAAGTCAAGGACTATCTGTATCAACATTCACAAACCACAAAGATAGACTTTTCATAACAATCTGAAGACATGGAAGTTTGGTTAACAGTGCAAATTTTCTTAAAAGGAGATTAGAGACTGTATGCAGAAGAAATCTAAAAGTGATTTTAGGTAATAAGAATTTGAAGGATCCTCTGTCTTTAGCGGCAGTGTTTCCTCCCCGGTGATACCGCTTTTAGAAAAACAAAAATAAAGAACATTCACAAAAATTGGCACAATAGTGTAATAGTCAATATAATATAAAAAGGAAACACGCTCACCTGACATAAGGAGGGTGCTAAAAATCTCCAAATTAAACTATTCAAATATAAAATATAATTATGTGAAGAGGTCTCATTTGCCAGAACACAAATTAAATGGAATTGTAATGTTTAGGTTAAGGTTCACATTCAAATATCTCCATATCATTTTAAGGCTTCCAGAATTTCCTCCAATAGAACTGACAAATCTGGATGGCACAATTTGTGAAAATCCGTACCACAATTCCTATCCATTCTGAGGTAGGCAGCTTACAAAAGCAGTAAAGCAAGCCCTAAACCAAGTAGGGATTTTTTCCCGACCCTATCCTGGGTCTTGTGCTTAGAATGGAAGAGTCAGCAAAATTCCATGTCACTGGCCAACTGCCTCACTTATAGGGATACATTAGGCCAGTGGTGGAGAACCTATGGCACACGTGCCAGAGGCGGCACTCGGAGCCCTCTCTATGGGCACACGTGCCATTGCCCCCCCTTGCCTCCCCCTGCAACCCCCTCATTGCCAGCAGCCCCCCTGGAGGAGAGTCGCCCCCGAGTGTGGCCCACGTGGAGCAGCACAGCCAAGGACATGGCAGCCAGGCAGCGTAGACCTCACACCCCATCACGCAAAGTTGATGCTGCGGGGTGCGGGCAGAGGGCGTGGCTGCCATGGCGCTGCTGGGCTGCCTGGACGATCTGCAGCGGGCCCTGGAGGTGGTGAATGGCCCTGCGGGGGTGGGGGCGGAATGGGGGTGGAGTGGGGGCCGGGCAGGGGATGGAGTGAGGGCGGGGCCAGTTTTGGGGCACTCAGTCTCTAAAAGGTTCACCATCATTGCATTAGGCTTCACCGGGAGGGTTTAAAGTAAGAATACTTCACTAAAAATATACTATACTTATGCTAAAACGTTGCCAAGCTTTCGTTGGGGGAAACTCCTCAACATCGTCAGGGCTAAAGAGGCCGCTTCAACAAGGATGGTTTAAGTGGTTCAAGCAACGTCTGCGCACAGCTCTTAGACCATCTTAAACCATCCTTGTTGAAGCAGCCTCTTTAGCCCTGACGATGTTGGGGAGTTTCCCCCAACAAAAGCTTGGCAACTTTTTAGCATAAGTATAGTATATTTTTAGTAAAGTATTCTTACTTTAAACCCTCCCGGTGATCGTGTTTTATTTGTTTTATTTATAATTATGCCTGGGAGTCGCATTTTTACTAGTATTATTAAATATATATATATATTCTCTGAGTTGGATCTGGCCCATTCAGTCTTTCTTTTGCCAGTCCCTTTCCAAGATCAACTTTGGTTCCATTCTCTTATCTTTGGAGAGCTGTCTTTCTGATGAACCAAAAGATGGACAGATTTTGTCAACACTTCACTCAGTCTCTTTTTCTAAAGGAGTTTCACATAAACTGTTTCATAGCTGCCTGACGGGATACCCAACCTGATTATCATCGGAGATGATAATCCAGGCAAGTTCTTGCGATAATGTTAAAATGATCAAGTGATATTTACCCGCAGGCTTGCATTTGACCAAAAAGAAAATCATTTATCTCAGTGGTTCTCAACCTTTCTAATGCCGCGACCCCATAATACAGTTCCCCATGTTGTGGTGACCCCCAACCACTTATACATCACTGGGTGCCAGGGGCGTGGCCAAAGAAAAGGGGGAAAAAATGGCGGACAGCCTTGTTTGGCGACCCCCGTGAAATGGTCGTTCGACCCCAAATGGGGTCCCGACCCACAGGTTGAGAACCACTGATTTATCTGAAATAGTATGTGTTTCCTGTTTGAGCAGGGATGTGTGTGTGGACTAGAAGACTCCAAGTCTCCCTTCCAACTCTGTTATTCTGTTAAGAACCATCTATCTGCAAAACATTCATTTGAAAAGAGATTTATTTTGAGCGGTGCTATAGAAAAAAGAGGCGTGTTGTCATGAAAGGCAATATTCCACTCTAGGTAGGAATCTAGAGTAGCATCTGTATTGAAAAGATTATGGAATTTCAGGGACAATTCAGAGTAATCACAGAAGAAAATTTAAAAAGACAGTTTCCATATCTGGACTGGCTTTTAGCCGGCTGATGTCACCACATGAATGGTCATCTCCAAACAGGGTCCAGGGTCTCCTGTTTGGTTCAGAAGTAAATCCTTGTGACTATGAATTGGGCGCACAGATTACATGGAAGATCTGGCTGAAGAAATACTGGAGTATTTGTTCTCTTCTGCCTTAGCTTCAATACCAAGGGGTTACACTTTTATGAACCTAGTCCAGAAAAAGCTAGAGATACCTAAAACAAAATAAAAGTAAAAAGGGGGGATCAAATTATTTTTGCTGTATAATCATGTGTTTTTGTTTCTAGTCAGTCATTGGGACCAAGAGATGGAAAAAAATGCTCTTTCAAAATTGTTTTTCAAGATGGCCAAAGGGGAACCAAGCACATTCTTGCATTGTAGAATCAACATTTTCACTTTAGCCTCATTGTCATCCTGGATTTTCACTGACATCCAAAAGTACAGGAAGGAAGGAAGGAAGGAAGGAAGGAAGGAAGGAAGGAAGGAAGGAAGGAAGGAAGGAAGGAAGGAAGGAAGGAAGGAAGGAGTGGTGGGATTCAAATATGTGAACAACCGGTTCTCTGTGGGGATGTCACTTCCGGAAGTCCATTCTGGGCCTGGGCAACAAAAAATTAGCTACCAGTTCTGCCAAAGTGGTACGAATTGGCTGAATCCCACCACAGGAAGGAAGGGAGGGAGGGAGGAAGGAAGGGAGGAAGGAAGGAAGGAAGGAAGGAAAGAAGGAAGGAAGGAAGGAAGGAAGGAAGGAAAGAAGGAAGGAAGGAAGGAAGGAGTGGTGGGATTCAAATATGTCAACAACCAGTTCTCTATGTGGATGCCACTTCCAGAAATCCGTTCTGGGCCTGGGCAACAAAAAATTAGCTATCGGTTCTGCCGAAGTGGTTGATAGTCCTCAATTTATGACCACCGTTGAGCCCATTTCTGTTCCCAGGTGAAACATTGGTTAAATGAGTTTTGCCCCATTTTACGACTTCTCTTGCCACAGCTGTTAAGAGGATTACCACAGTTGGTAAACTGGCTTCCCCATTGACTTTGCTTGTCAGAAGTTTCCAAAAGGGGATCCCCTGAACCCCAGGGACACTGCGACCATCATAAATACAACCCAGTTGCCAAGCATCTGAATTTTGATCACATGATTCTGGGGATGCTGCGATGGTCATAAGTGTGAAAAACGGTCATAAGTCACTTTTTGGGTGACACTGTAACCTTGAATGGCTACTAAATGAACTGTTGTAAATTGAGGACTACCTGTAATTTCTTCCATTTGGTTTTTCCCTCTGTTTGGAAAATATGGGCTACCAGAGAGGCTTCAGAGTAACAGAAGCATGTGTAAAAGGGAACAGTAAAACCTTAATAGCCACCTTCACTATCTTAAACAGTAAAGATAGATCACAAACATCGCTCAGAGAAATTCCAAAGAAATTATGGCACACACTGTAAAACAAAAATGTTGAAAACTTCCAGGACACGTTTTAGTACAATGTTAGTTCTGTGCAATGATGGGATTCAGCTGGTTCACACCACTTCGGCAGAATCGGTAGCTAATTTTTTGTTGCCCAGGCCCAGAATGGACTTCTGGAAGTGGCATCCACACAGAGAACCGGTTGTTCCCATATTTGAATCCCACCACACCTTCCTTCCTTCCTTCCTTTCTTCCTTCCTTCCTTCCTTCCTTCCTTCCTTCCTTCCTTCCTTCCTTCCTTCCTTCCTTCCTTCCTTCTTCCTTCCTTCCTTCCTGACTTCCTTCTTTCTTTTCTTCCTTCCTTCCTCCTTCCCTCCCTCCCTGCCTCCCTCCCTTCCTTCCTTCCTTCCTTCCTTCCTTCCTCCCTCCCTCCCTCCTTCCTTCCTGTGGTGGGATTCAGCCAGTTCACACCACTTCGGGAGAACCGGTAGCTAATTTTTTGTTGCCCAGGCCCAGAATGGACTTCTGGAAGTGGCATCCACACAGACGGTTGTTCCCATATTTGAATCCCACCACTGGTTCTGTGGCTTTCTTGAAACGTGACAGTTCCCTTGTTTTATTATACTAGTTGAATGGGGATACTACTCTGGGAAAGAGATTTGGTTTGCGGTCAGTCTAAGACTACCTTGGAAAAATTTGTACCAAACCTATAGAAGACACTCCTTTTTCCTCTAAAGAGATGTCTGTTTACCTAATAATAATATTTTCATTTACTGGGATCCGCTTCCATGTTCCTAAAATCAAAGACTTTCAAACTACTCTTCCCATTTTGGTTTGAATTAGGTTCCCCCCCCCTTTCAACATAACCTTATTATTTAACAAGCATCACCCTTAGAATCTTGCTTAATTTGGATTCCCTGGTTCATTTTGTTTTATGGCTTCAATCTTAAACTGGATGTTCGCCCTTTGTCAGAGATATTATTCACCTAAGATAATGCACAGAGCACAGACGCAGCAACCTAGGTAGAAATCCCAATTTAGAAACAGAATGATGTCTCCAAATTCATATTTAAGCTTCTCACTTGTAATCACTAAAATGCCCAACAGAGAGATGGCTGCAAACAAAGAGAAGACAATTAGATTCCTTCAAATACAGTAACCTTCTACCAAGAGTGGAACTTCCTCTAAATTAATACTAACTATCCCACAACCTGATGTTTTCTAGATGTGTTAGGTCACTAACTCTCCAAGCTCCTGCTATAACATTCAGGAGACCCAGCACATCTGGAGGCTGCTAAATTTGGAAAGGAGAGAACATATGGCCATCTGCATGCTAATTAATCAGAGTTTTCTGCAATCACAGCCAATATGGTCCATAGCCAGGAGTCATAAGTTCTCCACCTTGGATATAAAGACCACCCCATCTTTGTCTACCTGCATGTAGACCCAATACACGCACCTCAGAAATCAATGGTGTAGTGGTACAAATATAGCTGCTTTTTTAAACACGCTTTCAGGCTTACCGTGTCCTATGACCTTGAAACAGGCTGGTTGAACATTCAGAAATTGGAACTTGTGAGCCTCAGGTCCACCAACTGTACTCTCTTGAAGCCCTTGAAAATTAGCCTTTTGAGTTTACATCACACGGCAAGCCACACATTTTGATTAGAGTTGCACATGAGCAGAACAATGAGCTGGGGGTGGAGATGGGCAGCTAGGTACATGTTTTAAATAAGTAAACACGCTCACTGCTTTTTTAGCTTAGTGTATCATGCAAATAGGCCATTCTTATAAGGGGCATGAATTATTTATTATTCATAAATTATATTTGTTCAGGTAGTCCTTGACTTGCAAACACGATTGGGACCTGAACGCCCAATGCTAAGCGACGCGGTTCTTAAATGAGTCAGGCCCAATTTTACAACCTTAGAATGGCACCGAAAAAGTAACTTTATGACCATCTTTCACACTTACGGCCATTGCAACATCCCCGTGGCCATGTGAAAATTGCTTCATTTCATTTCTATCATTCTAGCCTAGTTAACTACAAATGACAGAACAGCATTATTTTCGGTGGAATTCATTTAGAGGAACTACATGTCACCAGCCCTTTAAAAAACTAAAGCACCCACTAGACAGAGAATTACACCTATCCAACAGCATTTAACCAAATTATATTCAAAGACATGCACATTATATTGAGGAAAATGCCATCTTGTATTTGATTATTTTTTCTACTATAATCTTACAGTTTATTGTATTTTTGAACATCAGAGGGAGGTGTCTCTCAGACTTTTAATTAAAAGGCATAGGTTTGGTGACTTACAACACACTTCATCAGCTACAATGAACGGGTTAGGCTGATATAGGATTTTAAATGGGATGGGGAGCAAGGAGGGAAGAAGGGAAAGACAGATTGATTATGCAGATGCAAATTATACAATCAATTGTAACAATTGTAAAGTGTTAAACATCCATTGTTTGTTGAAGCCTTCAGAGGTAACTTGAAACTTTTTTACATAGGAATTCAGCAATTATACTGGCAAAGTTTCTTTGTTCCCCAAATGGCTACTCTGGGATTTGTAATGGAGTGTCCTAGAAGGCTGAAATGCTCTAATATTACTTTGCCCCGTGGCCATGTGATCAAACCTCAGATGCTTGGCCACTGACTCATATTTATGACAGTTGCAGTGTCCCGGGGTCACGTCATCCCCTTTTGTGGGACCTTCTGACAAGCAAAGCCAATGGGGAAGCCAGATTCGCTTAACGACTGTGTTACTAACTTCACAATTGCAGTGATTCCCTTAACAACTGTGGCAAGAAAGGGCATAAAGTGGGGCAAGATTCACTTAAACATGGTTGCCCTCAGCAACAGAAATGTTGGGCTCAATTGTGGTCATAAGTTGAGAACTACCTGTCAACAAAAAAGGCAACGTGACAAAAATATTATGAACAGTGGAGCCACTTCAGAAGACCACCAATTTCTCAAGACCTCCAGGCCTCTCGACACGGGCTGGTTTCCAGGGATTTCCAGAGGCTGGGAGGGAAGGAATCAATCTCACTTTGGGAGGAAAGTTGAAGTTCCAGAGAGTGGAACCATGTCCTGGGTCCCACCAGATGTAACTCCTTAGTAAACGGGGCCACTTCCTCTGCCGACAGGTCATTATATTGCTTGTTGCTCCAGATTGGAGCACAAAACATACATAAAAACATCTATTGCCTACTATGGAAGAATGGATACTCAAGGTGTCTAATTTAGCAGAAATGGCAAAAAATTCCGCTTATTTGAAGGATTATTCACAAGAAAGTTATATTTCGGTTTGGAGAAGATGGATAGATTATATCCAGAATAAGTATGAGACTAAAAAGTATTATTTAGCTTATGAGTAAATTTTAGATTGTTTTTAATAGTTTAATATGATTGAATTTATATTATTTTTAGTATTATTGTTTAATTATATTATTATTTTTGGTTTTTAATTTGTTAATATTTATTTTGAAAAGGAGCTAAATATGTTATGGATTTGACTGTTAGTAGAGTTGGGTAATGTTAGTTAGATTATGACTGCTTATTTGTAACCCTGTAATCAGCTCTGGGAAATGGGGGAGGGGGGAGGGGGGAGGGATTTGGGTTATATATTGTAAAAAATTTTAAAACTTTTAATAAAAAGAAATATCTATTGCCAATACTGTTCTAGGCAAACTGGGTAAAAAGGAATTCAGAAAATATATTGTTGTTGTTGTTGTTGTTGGAAGGGATGTTGAAGGTCATCTAGTCCAGGGGTCCCCAACCCCTGGACCATGGATCGGTAGGGGCCGTGGCATGCCAGCAACCGGTCCACACAAACAAACAAACCCCCATCCATGGGATGCAGGCAGCACACAAACCCACACACTCTCCAGTCCACAGAAAAACCAGACCCATGATCTAGTCCAACCCCCTGCTCAGACAGGAAACCCTACACCCTTTCAGGCAAATGGCTGTCCAGTCTCTTCTTAAAAACTTCCAGTGTTGGAGCATTCACCGCTTCTGGAGGCAGGATGTTCCACTGGTTAATTGTTCTAACTGATTAATTGTTCTAACAGAGCTATCTATCTGTCATCTATCTATTTTGCTTGCTGCTCATCTCACTACAGAACAACAGAGTTGGAAAGGACCTTGGAGGTCATCTAGTCCAACCCCCGGCTCAGGCAGGAAACCCTATACCATTTCAGACAAATGGCGGTCCAGTCTCTTCTTACAAACTTCCAGTATTGGAGAAGGAAGGAAGGAAGGGAGGGAGGGAGGGAGGGAGGGAGGAAGGAAGGAAGGAAGGAAGGAAGGAAGGAAGGAAGGAAGGAAGGAAGGAAGGAAAAAAGAATAACAGAATAACAGATGGAAGGGACCTTGGAGGTCATATAGTCCAACCCCCAGCTCAGGCAGAAAACCCTATACCATTTCAGACAAATGGCGGTCCAGTCTCTTCTTACAAATTTCCAGTGTTGGAGCGTTCACAACTGATCCAATGGGATGGGCAGACACAATTGGGAAGAGGCAGCCCCTCAGATAACCTGGTCCCATGCTATGAAGGGTTTTAAAGGTCAAAAAGAGCATCTTGAATTGGCCCCAGAGGCAAAAGAGCAACCAATGCAGCTTATGGAGCAGGGGTGCCCTGTGTGACATTCTAGGGGCACACATACTAACTGTTGAGTCCTTGGCGCAAAGCAGACACGAGAAGCAGTTGGAGTTCTCAGTTTTCTTTATTCTGTGTTCAGCTTACAAGCAGATGGCTTTCCTTAACTTCCCAAACGCTCGCAGCCTCTTATATAGGCAACTCCCAGGTAAATGTGTTACTTTTCCCGCGCCAGCACCCGCGCATGCGCACGGTGCTGGCGACAGCCTGTCTGGTCCCGGGCAGCTTTGCACCTGCCCGGGACTGCCTGCAAACGCCCGAGCCGTTTGCAAGGCTCGGGACATAACACCCCTTTCCCCCGGGCTGAAACTACTACCAACATATAATCATTTGTTCTATACAGCGTTCCGCTCCCCAGTGCTTCCACTGTTTGCTGGCTTTTGCCTTGCCAGCAATGTTATATAATCCTCTAGGTACTTAGGAGATTTCTTTGCTCTCTGTGACCTTCTCAGCTCTGGGTTACTAGCAGGAGTTCCCTGACTGGAGGGAGATGTGAGCCTGTTCTCCTTATTTTGTCTTGGTGCCTTCCAAGGGCTGTGCCCTGATGCCTGGCCTGCTTGCTCGCCCACCGGGCTCGTCAGGCCAGGGCTTCTGTCACTTTGTGACCTGGTTGACCTGCCTATCTGTAGACCCTCGGCCCCCCTGAAGTGATAGCCACTGCTGGGCGTCTCTGTTGAACCTCCTAGGTCCGTCCAAGACCTGTCAGGAGGCTGTCCATTCCCTGAACCCCGTTCTGTGTCCGGGCTTGTGTGGGTTTCTGTACCTTCCCAAAACTCAGTTAGTCCCTGATTTGGGCTAGAGGTGTTGTAGTCGGGACTTGGTTCCTCGACCACCTCCCTGTATGTTTGACCCCCTGTAGGATTTGGGGTAAGGTCAGGCCAACCTTGGGGGTTGTGTGCCAGCTCTCTTGCGGGGAATGATTTGTTGGGATGCCCCCGGGTATCCTCCGTGATTGGAGTGCTGTGTGATATGTGTGGAAGGTGAGTATGCCCCCGGGGTGACTCCCTGGCTGGAGTAGGCGTGGATGCCTGGTAGTTGGGTAGGCTCATAGAATTCTTGTTCGGAGCTCTCGCGGAACCCTGGAATGGGCTGTTTGTGGCTCCATCAGTGGAGATGGGCAGCAGCTCGTGCCCTTCCCTTTGCTCCAAAGGGTGTGGCGCCATGCGATGATGGACATCTTGGGGTGGAAGTGCTCCTTCAATAGCTTCTTCAGATCTGCGTAGCTGACAGACTCTACTGGAACAGGTGCTGCAAGGTTTTCTGCGATGTCGAAGGCGTCTTGACCGCAAACACAAAGCAGGGTGGCAGCCTTCAAGCTCTCTTCCCTCACTTGGTTTGCCTTGAAGTAGTTCTCCACCCTGGCTACGTATGACTCCCACCGCTCTGGATGTGAGACGTTGAACTCCGAAAGCCTTCCGATTTTCGCCATCTTCAGGAGACGGGTCTATCAGCCAGCCTACCCCCGAATGCGCACTGGATTGGCGGGCAGCTGCCGAGTCGACGCCGTTCCGCCGCTCAGGACTCACTTGGGTAAGCTTACACTTCTTCCTTTCCAGGTGGTGTAAGGCATCCCACCTTCGTCGCCAGTGTTGAGTCCTTGGCGCAAAGCAGACACGAGAAGCAGTTGGAGTTCTCAGTTTTCTTTATTCTGTGTTCAGCTTACAAGTAGATGGCTTTCCTTAACTTCCCAAACGCTCGCAGCCTCTTATATAGGCAACTCCCAGGTAAATGTGTTACTTTTCCCGCGCCAGCACCCGCGCATGCGCACGGCACTGGCGACAGCCTGTCTGGTCCCGGGCAGCCTTGCACCTGCCCGGGACTGCCTGCAAACGCCCGAGCCGTTTGCAAGGCTCAGGACATAACACTAACCAATTGAAGTTTTTGGAAATACTTCAAGGGCAGCCCCATTTAGTGTGCATTGCAATAAGATGAGAGCTTCAGCAGAGCCTCCCAATCAAGGAAAGGGCATGCCTGGGGCACAACACAAAGTTGTCCAAATATCCTCCTAGCCACAACCATTGTGGCTAGGAAAAGGATGAGGGGAGACATGATAGCAGTCTAAGGAGAACTAAGGAGAAACTTCCTGATACTTAGAACAATTAACCAGTGGAACAACCTTCCTCCAGAAGCAGTGAATGCTCCAACACTGGAAGTCTTTAAGAAGAGACTGAACAGCCATTTGTCTGAAATGGTATAAGTTTTCCTGCCTGAGCAGGGGGTTGGACTCGATGACTTCCAAGATCCCTTCCAACTTTATTATTTATGGATCATCGCACAGTCAGCCAGATGTTCAGACTGGATTTGGCATTTTTGTCTACCTATCGAGTCCTTACCCAGGACCTGGGATAGGCAGATGTGGATGTTTGATGGTATTACAGATATCGTCGCAGGATGGAAGCAGTTCCTAGTAAGGCCGCCTTTTGCAATTGACTAATAGCGAATTTGTCAATGCCAGTGGTGTTCAAGTGGTGCTCCAGTTGTTTTGGGACTGCACCCAAGGTGCCTATTACTATTGGTACTACCCTTGCTTGCTTTTGCCACAGTCTTTCTATTTCTATTTGTAGGTCTTTGTATTTTGTTATCTTCTCCAGTTCTTTCTCGTCTATTCTGCTGTCTCCAGGCACTGCCACGTCCACTATCCAGACTTTTTTGTCATCATCACCACCACCACCACCACCACCACCATCATCATCATCATCATCATCATTATTACTGCTCGAGAAAGATGAATATATTATTAGTTGCCATGATTTCAAAGGCAAAATAACCATGTTTTAACTTTACTAGTAAATATGCCAGTGGACCTAATTCATTTGAAAAGATATCATAAAATCCCAGCCTTAAAAAAAGCATTCCATATCTGGCAGAACTTTTTCTGTCTAAAGAGCCCATATTTTATTTTCCTCTAAAAAGATAGGATGCAAAGGTTGGAAGAGACATCTGCCAGGTAAGTTAGCCCTGCTAAAAATATTGAACTAATGGTTCGCTATTTATAGTTAGAAGACTTACACAATACCTGTGATGAAGTGAGCTATAGAAGGAGGCAGGTCTTCTGATATATTTATTTTCAGGCAGTGAATAAAAAAATTCCGTGATAGAATCAATTCAGTTAAGGAACAGATAATGGCATTTATCACCAGTGTCCGGGCCACAGTCAGAATGGCTAGAAGAAATATTTTCCAAAAGGAGAAAAAAGGCATTAGTGGACCTGGGAACCCCTGATTCCAAGACTACATATAAAGTTCTAGAGATGAAATGAGGTGGAAGAGGAGAGGGGAGGGGAATTCTAATATGAAAAACAATTGTAAATCATTTTGACGAGCTTGATCTGTCCTTCACAACTGTTCCTTCTTTAATCTCCCTGCACACCCCACCAGTAGATTATCTCTGAAAAAAATATATAGCCTTTGACAGAGAAAATATCATCTATCTCTGATTTAAACAGACTAATTTCTCATCCTCACTAGAACAATGGCTTTAGAGAAATGATCGAAGCTACTTTTCTAAAAGAGGGGGAAAGAGTGAGGATTGTATAGTAAAGGGGTGGGCAACATGTAAGTATCCAGATTTTGCTGGACTGCAATCCCCATCATTCCTGACTACTGGATGAACGATAGTCCCATCCATCCAACATTTAGAGCAGGCATATCAAACTCGCGACGTCACATAACGTCGCGTGACATATCGGAGCTTTTTCGCCATTGCCGGCAATGGGGTGGGCGCGGCTCCAGTATGATGAAACCGGCCCGGGGGCTGGCAGTTTGATACCCCTGATTTAGAGGACTATTGACTTGGAGATTCCCAAAATGTGAAACTAGTATAAATTACACAGAACAATTAGAAAGATACGTTTTATGATTTCATGCAAGATCCAGAAGACTACAGACCTATCAGCTTGACATTAATACTTGGAAAGATTCTGGAAAAGATAATCAAGCAATGAATCTGCAAACACCTAGAGGCAAACAGTGTCATAACCAGAAGTCAACATGGGTTTGTCAAAAAAAACCAGATCATACTTGACAACTCTAATTGCATTCTTTGACAAAGTGACCAAATTAGTGGACCAGTGAAATGCTGTGGATATAATTTACTTGGACATCAGTAAGGTGTTTGATAAAGCAGAAATCTCTTCCAACTCTGTTATTTTGTTAAGTTTAACAAAGCTAGACCAGGAGTAGGCAATCTTGGCTCTTTTATGACTCATGGACTTCAACTCCCAGAATTCCTGAGCCAGCCATGCTGAGGGGAAAGGGAGAGGTTTCTAAGCTGAACCATGCTGGCTCAGGAATTCTGGAAGTCCATGAGTCATAAAAGAGCCAAGGTTGCCTGCCCCTGAGCTAGATTATCAAATGCACATCTCTGATGCAGGGTGATGTCATTTGTTTGCCCATTCATTCATTCATTCACTCACTCACTCACTCACTCACTCATCATATTCTTGACTCACCCATTTCCCTCAGAGAGGGACTCTGGGCAGTGTATAATAAAATATTAAAATATATTATAAAAAGGCAAAGATGATAAAAAACACAATAAAACTTAATTAGAAGGCTAAATCTTAAATGTTAATGTTAAATATTAATGTTAAATCTTATTTAACATCTTCACAATTCAATTTCAGGTTTTCACGTAATTTATGTACAAATAAATTGTCCAAAAATGAAAAGCGGAAGCTCAGACAATCCTTCTTACTTGTACTATCTGTAATAATGTAACACTTGTGTTCATAGCATTTGGTCCAGAATCCCAATGAGAAGACATATTCTCCCTCTGGATGCATCAACCAATAGGGAGAGATGGAGATGAGCAGAAGCAGGAGACAGTTAGTACAAGCAACAATATTGTATCCGGTTTTGTAATAACTGACTGGGAAGATGAAGCAGCAGATCTGCAAAGGAATGGAGAATTGGCACCAAGGTTAAGTTAAATTACATCGTGTTCTGCTTCCATCCTGACCTTGCCTATTTCCTTCTCCTTCTTTATGTTTTAGTCATAACATCCCATGCAAAGGCTTAGAACTGAAAGATCATGGCTAGAGTTGTGTTGAAAGCCAAGAGTAGCAGAAAGCTGATTGAAAATAAACACAGTGGAGAAAAGATGGCCACATCCTCTTCCATCAACATCTTTATGAAGCAAATGGGAATCAAATAATACTGTGAGGATGTTGGGAGACACCATTCGTTCCCCTAACCAGTCAGGACACTGCAGGAGATAACACCCAAAGAATAATGATGTCAAATTTTGGTGGTGAGATTTGGGGCTATTCTGAGTAGGATTTAGGGTGGAAACAGGAGCAGTGTGTCAACTTAAAGCTTCCCACTCACATTTCCACTACAGCATTATTTTAGAAAAGAGCAAAGGGAGGAAACACACACTGTTTAAAGGCTGTTATTGGCCTACTAAATCATTCCAAGATGTTATAAGAAGAAATAGGATACAAATGTCCAGGAGTACCTTGGATCTCTTCAACCCCTTTCTCCATTTGCATTAAGCACCAAAGTGGAGTGAGGAAAAATAAACCTACTAAGAACAGTCAGACCCAACATTTCAAATGTAAACAAGAAACAATTCTGCTCAGACACATGTCGAAGCACTGAGGATATTATTGTGACATTGTTTAAAAGACTCCCAGAAAAGTAGCCTTCATTATGCTAAGTCCCCTGGCCTTCCATGCCAGTTTTGGAGAGTCTTTATGAAATAAGTTTCTTGGCAAACTACTCTTCCTTAAGATTCTGCTGCAAATAGCAGCTTCTTCCCCAAATATTAGTGACAAAGTTTCTAAGGATGTACAAGTCTGCTTAGCTCAAATATGTCATCAAAGAATGCCAAGGCCTCAGATGCCTGTTAAAGGAGTAACATTTGATCCAATGTGGGGTAAAAAAAAATGAGTAACACCTGTAGCTGTTCTTCCTGGTGGGTTACACTATCCGAAATCTCCTCTCCCCAAATCTCATTCATGTCCCTTGTTTAGTAAGCCCAACAGTGCTTGATTCTATTCCATTCAACCAGTTCTAACTGTCATGGAATCTTCTTCACTACGAAACCAGGAAGTGTCACAGATTGGGTGTGTATGTGTGCATCTTTGAGTCCATATTGATTCTTGGAAATTGCTTGGGCAAGTCCTTGTAGTTTTCTTGGCAAGATATTGGAAGGGGCTGGGAAAAAGGGACTGGCCCAAGGCCACCTTGCTGGCTTTGTGCTTAAGGTGGAATTAGAATACAGGGTCTTCCGATTTTTACACCTATTTTGTATTATGCTGTTATGCTTTATTTACATACATGATGGTGTCAATTGCTGTTTTATTTTGTGTCCGCACTTTGCTTAGTTATAAGCACATATTACTAATAATATTTCTACTCCCAAGCATACAAGGAGCAAGCTACAGTTCAAGTGCAAAGAACAAACAGATGCATTCTCTAACAGTTTTTGGAACAAGCCACAATTACATCATTGCGCTCTATGCTCATTTGTTTGTGCTACTGCAGAAAAGGGCAAATTAACTAGCCCAATCCTTGCCTCACCAAAACTGTTTTGCGACCTGAACTGGAGCCTCGAAGGACACATCTGGCCTTCAAAAACCTTGGGTGCTGATTAAATTAAATATGAGCCAGCCGTGTGCTGCAGCTGCCAAAAAGCCAACACAATGCTGGGCTGCATTAACAGAGGGATAGAATCAAGATCACGTGAAGTATTAATACCACTTTATAATGCCTTGGTAAGGCCACACTTGGAATACTGCATCCAGTTTTGATCACCACGATGTAAAAAAGATGTTGAGACTTAGAAAGAGTACAGAGAAGAGCAACAAAGATGATTAGGGGACTGGAGGCTAAAACATATAAAGAACGGTTGCAGGAATTGGGTATGTCTAGTTTAACGAAGAGAAGGACGAGCGGGGACATGATAACAGTGTTCCAATATCTCAGAGGCTGCCACAAAGAAGAGGGAGTCAAGCTATTCTCCAAGACACCTGAAGGCAGGACAAGAAGCAATGGATGAAAACTAATCAAGAAGAGAAGCAACCTAGAACTAAGGAGAAACTTTCTCATAGTTAGAACAATTAACCAGTGGAACAACTGCCTCCAGAAGCAGTGAATGCTCCAACACTGGAAGTTTTTAAAAAGAGCCTGGGCAGCCATTTGTCTGATATGGTGTAGGGTTTCCTGCCTGAGCAGGGGGTTGGACTCGATGACCTCCAAGGTCCCTTCCAACTCTATTATTATTATTATTACTTGCTTCTTCCCCAAATGAGAAACAGCCACCAAGAAATATCTCATTTGCACTGCAAATATATTGTGTGAAAATGGTCCCTGTCTCAGAAATGAAGGATAAATCCACTTAAGGACAGAAATTAAGACTGAATAGACAATAATCTTGGGTCACTTCAACAATTTTAATAGAACTGCTGGTGAGTGGAGGCGGGAACAAGAAGTTGCCAAGATGCCAAGTTACAGCTCACATGTGGCCTTCCGTATTACAAATTGCTGTTGAGTAAATAGCCATTCGTTCAGCTTGTCTGATTTTTCAGGATCTTCTAAGGATGTCTGTAATTGTACTCTTGAACAATACAGATGAGGCATAGATTATACGGTAAGCTTTTCATTGTCTGATTGTGCTATCTCTCCTTGTGCTTCTGCATTTATGTCACAAATCACATTTTCCTTTTCTTTGATCAAGCCCTTATAATATAATAGGCTGATTGTGCCTGGGGGAAAAATAATAATGGAAAAGTAAAATCGATCAGAAGGTAAACAAGAAACTACAGGTAGACCTCTAAGTGATTGGGAAGGGATCGTTATACATTTCTGACTCTTAATGCTATAACAATTGCAACAATGAAAAGGCTTTTTCCCTAAAGAACATGGAACATAAATCACAAATTAACATTATCAACTGCGTATAAAGAAAACCAAATTAAAATGTTTTACAGATGGCATCTAGCACCGGCGAGATTGGCTAAAATTTATAAAAATATGAAACCAGATTGTTGGAAATGTAAAAACAATGAGGGAACATTCTATCATATGTCGTGGCAATGCCCCAAAGCAAAAATTTACTGGGAGCAGATAAGAAGATGGCTACTGGAAATAACAAAACAACAAATTGAACTCAAGCCAGAAATATTTTTACCAGGTATAATTAACCCAAAAATTGAAAAACGACTCCAATACATCATTATACATATTATAACGGTGGCATGTATTGCATACATGCAACAGTGGAAAAGTGAAAGCATACCAACAAATGCAAAGATTATAGGAAAGATTTTAGACTGTACAGAGATGAATAAACTAACTCTAGAAATGAAAGACAAAGAAGATACGGAATTCTATGAGGTATGGGACATGTATTATAGTTGGTTAGAATTGAGGAATAAAAAAGTAAGAGAAGTAATGTAAATAATTGTTAATAAATGTAAGAGATATAGGGCATAGTATTGTTAAGGAAAATGGAAAATGTATTGTGTATTGTGTATTTTGTATGTTCGAAATATATATATATATATATATATGTGTGTGTGTGTGTGTGTGTGTGTGTGTGTGTGTGTGTGTGTGTGTTTTCTGAGGTTTTCGCGGGTATTTGTATGTAGGTCTTTGGTTGTTCGGGTTTTCTCCCGCGTAAAATTGGAAGTGTCTTGGCGACGTTTCGACGAAGTCCCATTCGTCATCTTCAGGCTGGTGTTTTCAGCTTCGTGCTTTGAGCAGCAATGTGTGGTCTTAGCTGTTTCTTCCTTTTAACTGCCAGTGGGGGTATGAACTGATTGGGTGGGAGCTTGGCTGTGTTCTGATTGGGTGGAGGTGTGTTCTGAATGGTTAGGGGCTTGGCTGTGCTCTGATTGGCTGGGGGAGTGTTCTGTTTGGTTGTACTCAGGTTAGTCTGAGTTGCAGAGGGGTTTAAGATTTTGGGCTGCCTTGCTATTTTTTGGCTTCTCGTTCGTGGTTGTGTCTCCTCTTCATGGAGGGTGTCAGAAACAGCTAAGACCACACATTGCTGCTCAAAGCACGAAGCTGAAAACACCAGCCTGAAGATGACGAATGAGACTTCGTCGAAACGTTGCCAAGACACTTCCAATTTTACGCGGGAGAAAACAACCAAAGACATATATATATATATATATATATATATATATAATATATATATATATATATATGTAGGTCTTTGGTTATTCGGGTTTTCTCCCATGTAAAATTGGAAGTGTCTTGGCGACGTTTCGACGAAGTCTCATTTGTCATCTTCAGGCTGGTGCTTTCGGCTTCGTGCTTCTAGGAGCACGAAGCCGAAAGCACCAGCCTGAAGATGACGAATGAGACTTCGTCAAAACGTCGCCAAGACACTTCCAATTTTACGTGGGAGAAAACCCGAATAACCAAAGTCCTACATACAAACACCCGCAAAAGCCTCAGAAAACATATATATATATATATATATATATATATATATATATATATATATATGTGTGTGTGTGTGTGTGTGTGTGTGTGTGTGTGTGTGTGTGTGTGTGTGTGTGTGTGTGTGTATGTATGTATAAAAGAAAAGGCTTTTCCCTTGCCACATTATGAAGAAGATAACAGGGGGGGAAATAGAAATGGGTTTTGTGTGAAATAATTTTTTGATTTAAAAATTCTGGGTGGAAAGTATGCTCAGATAATCTTTATCCTCTATTAACTTTATCCATATATCCATTCATTTATCCCTTTGGGCTCCTGACTCTCGGATTTAAGCAGGCCCTTCATACATGAGAAGATGCTTCCAGATATTTCTGTTTGACCTTTCTGACTGGATTCAGGACTATCATTCATTCATCCATTCAACTTTTTATACCAGCAGTTACTAAAGATCTTTGGTGGCTGACAGTAAAACATACAATTAAATTCAGAGCTATTTAAAAAAGTTAAAAACAAGAATTAAAAGCCTGATTTGAAAATAGGCTTTTAGGGTCCTTCTACAAATTAATGTAGTAGTTCTTTAATTCAGCAGGGAGCATGTTCCAAAGAAAATTGAATGCAGGAGCATCTCAGTTGTGGCTGTCATCCCAAAAAACCTATAAGAGCTGTTGGAGAACCTCTTTAGATAATCTCAATAAGTTGCAGAATTCATAAACAATGCTGAAAGAATAGGATAAAATAATAACATGAAATAGCAGGAAACCTTATAGCATTTCAGACAAATGGCTGCCCAATCTCTTCTTAAAAATTTCCAATGCTGGAGCACCCACAACTTCTGAAAGCAAGTCATTCCACAGTTTAATTGTTCTAACTTTCAGGAAATTTCTCCTTAGTTCTAGGTTGCTTCTCTTCTTGATTAGTTTCCATTCGTTGCTCCTTGTCCTGCCTTCAGGTGCTTTGGTATTTGAATTCTTTCAAATAGACTGGAGTCAGGTCTTGTAGAGCTTTAATCATAAAAAACAGGACTTTACATCTTATCCAGAGTAACTGGCAGTTAGTGCAATGGTTTCAGTTCAGCTATAATGTGATTTCATTGAATAAATCCAGAGACTAAACTAGGTGATGAACTCTACTGAGTGCAAATTTTGTGCCAGATAAATATCCCTGTGTCTAAAAAGTGTTTACCATCAAACACTTCATCCATCATATATGCAAAGATGATGTTGTTGCCTTTATCCTGACTTTTAACCCATAATGTAGTTTGTTGTCTCCAACAGAATCTTACATCATCATCATTCTAGCCATTGTCTATTTACTGCAGATGAAGGCCCCTTCTGCATGTTTCCAACCAGTACGGCTTTGAGCTTTCCTTTGCTAGTTGGGCTCGCAATATTTGCTGATGTCATTATTCCATCTTGCCTTAGGTCTCTTTTGTGGACGCTTTTTATCAAGTGGGATCCATTCTATGACTGCCTTAGTTCTTCTGCCATCAGTACTTCTTCCTAGGTGACCAGTCCATTTCCATTTCCATTTTTATTTACTCTTTTGAGTAAAAAATCATATATTTTTGTCGGTTCTCTAATCCAGGGCTTTTCAACCAGTGGTACGGGTACCACCTGTGGTACATTGGCACCTGGCAGGTGGTACACAACCATCCTAGAAAAGTGGTAGCAGGGGAGGGGAATGAGCTGAACCGGTGGCAGCACCGCACAAGCCTGAGCGAGACATAGCTGGAGCTGCAGGCTGTCAAGGCTCAGCGGAAGCGTCAGGATCAGTGCGAGGCTCCAGCTGGAGCTCGGCGCTGATCCTGGTGCTTCTGCTGAGTCCAGAAGAAGCTCCGATCAGCTGGAATGTTGCAGCAGCTCCAGAGTCTTGTGATTTACATTCAGATGCTTGGCAACTGATTCATATTTATGACGTCACAGTGTCCCGGGGTCATGTGAAGTAACCAAAACCTGCTGCAACCACCCATCAGATGGGGGGAATAAAAACCAAACACCCCACCCCACCCCTGCTGCCAACCCTCAACAGAAATGCTCACAACAATGAAAACCTCGGACAGAAGGAAGAGTCCACCGGGTGGGCAGGCAGGTGTCTTGCTTGACTGTGGCTTGGGGGGCACTTTTTTCAGTGCCATTGTAACTTCAAACAGTCACTAAGTGAACTGTTGTAAAGCGAGGACTACCTGTACTTTATCACTCCCCCCCTTTTTTGGGGGGGTCATCAAGTTTTTGACACCTTGCTAGGCAACTGGTGGTACTCGGATGTTGCCATATCCTAAAAATGGTACAATGGGTGAAAAGGTTGAAAAGCCCTGCTCTAATCCACGTGCAGGTCTCTCTCTCTTGTCTTTTGATGCTGAGCTTGTATCTGTACATGGCTCTTTGTGTCACTTGTAGCTTTTGTATTGATTGTGAGGCTCGTGTCCATGTTTCTCTGGCATATGTTAGAACAGGTAGCATACAGTGATCAAAAACTTTTCAGGTATAGGGGAGAGATTGTTCTTGAAAATTACGCTTAACTTAGAGTCTTACTTACCTAAGAAGAATGATAGAAAACAGACAAAGCAACCGAGGAAAAAACCATAGTAAGGTTTCATTTTATTGTTGTGCACATCAATCTTGATTCTAAGATTGCAGTAAGTAATTAACAGAGCAGATAGCAAGAAGAGTCCTGAAAATTAAAAAGAGAAGTCAAAAGTTCAGGACAAAAAAAACATACTTGGCTAGAAAAGATGTTGGGAAAGCATGTAGATTTTAAACCTGAACTTTTTTTTACTAGATATAATGCCAGAAAAAGATTGATAAACAAAGTATATGCTTGATTTTACATGTGATAACAGCGGCAAGAATCATATTCGCACAACATTGGAAAAATGAAGAAATACCATCACAGGAAGAAATAATTAAAAAAATACTAGAATATGCGGAAATGGGCAGATTTACTATGAGGCAGAATACTTTCAAACTTGGGACTTATTTTATCAACAGCTGGAGAAAAGAATAAAGGATTAGTAATTAAATTTGTATTAGTGAATGATAAACTCAGACAACACTTTTGTTGAATAAATACACCTGAATTGTATGAAAGAAATATTAATAAAAACTTTACCAAAAAAAGAGAGAGAGAAGTCAGAGTTCCTAGTAGGAGTGTCCATATTACCCAAAATCTAATTTTAAAAAATTTGGATGTTTAAAATCATACACAAATAATTGAATTTTTCAGTCCAGTAAAAGTGTACAAAACAAACAAGCAAGGGCGAGGAGGGGGGGAGAAAACGAATGAAAAGGGAAAAAAAACAGCTATGCGTTCCACTTTACTTTCTATTGAATACAAGCAGTCCTCGACTTATAACAGTTCATTTAGTGACTGTTCAAAGTTACAACGGCAGAGAAAAAAGTGACTGATGACCATTTTTCACAAGATGGTTGAAGCATCCCCATAGTCACGTAATCAAGATGTTTGGCAACTGACTCGTACTTATGACGGTTGCAGTGTCCCGGATCAGCTTCTGTGACCTTCTGACAAGCAAAGTCAATGGGGGAAGCCAGACTCACTTAACAACCCTGTTACTAATGTAACAAGTAGAGTGATTCACTTAACAACTGTATGTGTGCGTGTGTGTGTGTGTGTGTGTGTATGTATATGTATATGTATATGTATATGTATATACAGACTTTTAAAATCATTTGCATCTCCAGACGGATTCAGCAAATATCTTTCACTCAAGTGTAAAATCCAAGGCATTCTTTCTCAATTGATTCCGAGGCGCTTGATTCAATCTAACACTTCAAAATAACTCAACCTGGTGGAGACTGAATACATGGAGTTGCCTTCAGAGCAAATCTTCAAGTCAGACATTTGCACAATCCTGGCTTCTGCCAAGCCTCATTCAGGCAAGTGAGTGCTCTACAGAGTTAACAATAATAATAATAATAATAATAATAATAATAATAATAATAATAATAATAATAATAATAATAATAATAGTAAAGTTGGAAGGAACCTTGGAGGTCATCTAGTCCAACCCCCTGCTCAGGCAGGAAACCCCATACCATTTCGGACAAATGGCTGTCCAGTCTCTTCTTAAAAACCTCCAGGGTTGGAGCATTCACCGCTTCTGGAGGCAGGTTGTTCCACGGGTTAATTGTTCTAACTGTTAGGAAGTTTCTTCTTAGTTCTAGGTTGTTTCTCTCATTGATTAGTTTTCATCCGTTGCTTCTTGTCCTGCCTTCAGGCGCTTTGGAGAATAGCTTGACTCCCTCTTCTTTGGGGCAGCCCCTGAGATATTGGAACACTGCTATCATGTCCCCCCCTCGTCCTTCTCTTCGTTAAACTAGACATACCCAATTCCAGCAACTGTTCCTTATATGTTTTAGCCTCCAGTCCCCTAATCATCTTCAGTAAACTATCTTTAAAGCTAGCTTAGAGTAACCAAATCTTGGAAGCTAGAAGAGGAATTTCCCCAGGGTCTCTTTGAACGATTTGAAAAGCTTCTTCCCAGATTTCTTCCTCCCTGGATGGAGTTGCCATTTATGAGATAAACAGCCCATGGATTCACCTTCCATTGCTTGATTGTTGATGTCTGTTCTCCTATTCTTTTTCCAGCATCCTCAAAGTCCCCCACAGTTTCTGTGTCAATGTTCCTTCTTCCCATTCTATCTCCTGAATGACTCATCCTCTAACCCCTGTTTCCCAACTTTGACTATTTCCAGGTATGTGGATTTCAACTGCCAGAATGATCTTGGAGTCCTAATGGACAATCACTTAAATATGAGCCAGCAGTGTGCTGCAGAAGCCAAAAAAGCTAATGCAATCCTTGGTTGCATAAACAGAGGGATAAAGTCAAGATCATGTGAAGTATTAGTACCACTTTATAAAACCTTAATACAATGGTTCTCAACCTGTGGGTCGGGACCCCATTTGGGGTCGAACGACCATTTCACAGGGGTCGCCAAACAATGCAGTCCGCCATTTTTCCCCCCTTTTCCTTAGCTGTGCTACTCCCTTTTATTCTATTGGCTTTTGAAAGCCAATAGAATAGACTCTCTTGAATAGAGTCTAATTCTATTGCCTTTCCAAAGCCAATAGGAATTGTCCAGGCTGTCTCTGCCCTGCTGAGCCCGCCAAATGTCCCATTCTGCAAACGGTGCTGCACCAGTTGAGTAGTCCTCGACTTACGACCAGTTGAGTAGTCCTTGACTTACGACCGGTTGGGGGTCACGGCATTAAAAAGATTGAGAACCACTGCCTTAATAAGAACCACATCTGGAATACTGCATCCAGTTTTGGACACCACATTGTAAAAAAGATGTTTAGACTTTGGAAAGTGTATGAAGAACGGCTGCAGGAATTGGGTATGGTTAGTCTAGAAAAAAGAAGGACTAGGAGTGACATGATAGCAGTGTCCCAATATTTGAGGGGCTGCCCCAAAAAAGAGAGGGTAAACCTTTTTTCCAAAGCACCAGAAGGCAAGACAAGAAACAATGAGTGGAAACTAATCAATGAGAGAAGCAACCTGGAACTAAGGAGAAATTTCCTAACAGAACAATTAACCAGTGGAACGGCTTGCCTTCACAAGTTTTGGGTGCTTTATCACTGGAGGCTTTTAAGAAGAGAGTGGACAGCCACTTGTCTGAAATAGTATAGGGTCTCCTGCTTGAGCAGGGGGTTGGACTAGAAGATCTCCAAGTTTCCTTCCAACTCTATTATTCTGTATTCTGTAGTGCTTAACAAGCCCGTGCTGGTGATAAAATTCTGTGAATTGAAATGGCAAGGGTTGGGCAACACTGCTCTAAAATATGACATAGATTGTCTCTCACTGCCTTTTGTCTACAACTCCCTTCAGCACAATGACTTTCCATTTGGTAATCTGGGCCTCTCATGACTTTCTAGGGCCTTGGCAGGTGCCCAGCCATATTGACCTCTGCTGAGCATTTCTGGGCAAGCATTTAACTTTGAGCAGCTTACTTACCCATTTGCTGAGCTCAGCTCTATTATAGCAATAGCTCTTAGACTTATATACCACTTCACAGTGCTTTTCACAGCCCTCTTTAAGCGGTTTACAGAGTCAGCCTATTGCACCCAACAATCTGGGTCCTCATTTTACCCACCTCGGAAGGATGGAAGGTTGAGTCAACTTTGAGCTGGTGAGACTGGAACTGCTGAACTGCAGGCAGTCAGCAGAAGTAGCCCGCAGTACTGCATTCTAACCACTGTGCCACCACCTCATCATTCCTTCATAGCTGAGTGGTTTACATCGTACCTGTGCCGAAATGAGCCACTGAAGAAATCAGGTTTTCGGTTATCTCCCGACCTATCAAGCACGCCAGTAGCTTCCATGAAGAAATCAAAGCAATAAAGCCAAAGAAAACAGCAGCTACAGCAAGGACCTGGGCAGCAATCAAAGGGCCTACAGAAAATATTCAAAGGAACAATTACATTTGAAGTTGTCTCATATTAAGCCACTGGTGGCGAACCTATGGCACGCGTGCCAGAGGCGGCACTCAGAGCCTTCTCTGTGGGCATGCATGCCATGCCCTGGAGATGGCAACCGTCCCTCTTCAACCAACCACCCACTAACTTGCTAAAGTCCTACATGGCCGGATGCATCACAACATGGGTGGTTTCCCTCCCCTCCATCACATCCCTCCTGGCCTCGCATGCTCTCCTTTTCCTGGGCACGACCCACTGCATCGCCGCTTCAGCTGTCGGCTATCTGTCCAGCTCAGAGGTGGCTTCTCTGAACTGCTGGCAGTGGGCTGCAGAGCCCCAGAGTGCGCCGGTCGAGGGGGCGGCAGGCTGTGGCTGCTGATGGACACTGTCGGTCCCATGTGCTCTCTGGCCTCTGTGTGCAGGGGCCGATGGTATCAGGCAGCTGCCACCCCAGCCCCTGCCTTGCCTTGTCCTGCGACAATGGCACCCCCACCCTGCCTCACCTTGCCTCATCTCACCCTGCAGAACAAGCCTCCTGCCCACCGCTGCACCTGCCAGAGACCCCCTGGATTTCCCCCAACCCTGCCCGGCCCCCACAGGCATCCCTCCCCACAAGTAACATTGAGGTGACCACACCCACCTTGGCCAGACCCAACCAGTCTGCCATGACCACCACCGCCATACCCACCCAGTGGGTCACACCCACCTGGCACCCGGTGATAAATAAGTGGATTTTGGGTTGTAGTTTGGGCACTTGGTCTCTAAAAGGTTCACCATCACTGGACTAAGCCAAGCTTCTGATCTGCCTGTGTGATCCAGCAGCACCAGACTTCCAGGTTCCTGGACATCCCAGTTTCATCTTCAGATATATTTTCTTTTACTTCCACATAATATTGCTCGTATATAAGATTGGCATGGGGTCACGCTTTCCCATACAGATAGGTCCTCTACCTACCAGCACAACTGAGCCCTGTCTCTGTGAGACCATTTGTTAAGTGAATTATGCCCCATTTCGCAGCCTTTCTTGTCACAGTTGTTAAATGAATTACTGCTGTTGTTAAGTTGGTGATGAGGTTGTTAACTGAATCTGGCTTGACTTTACTCATCAGGAGGTCATAAAAGATGGTCACAGGATCCCGGGGGGACCCAGCAACCGTCCTAAATATGAACCAATCGCCAAGTGTCTGAATTTTGATCACATGACCACGACGATGCTGCATTGGTCGTAGGTGTGAAAAATGGTCGTAAATCACTTTTTAAGTCACTAAATGTTGTAAGTCAAGGACTACCTAAACTTTATTATAGTATGAGCAGTGATCATCCACTGTAGGCTGAGGTAGGCTGCACAATGCTATAATATCAACATGATCACAGATAACCTTTGTTTCAACCAAGCTTCTTACCCACTTGATTTTATTAACATTTTAAAAACCAATTAAATAAAAATTAAATAAATGAAATTGGATACTGGCAGGCTGCAAAGTAAAGCATCGGCCTCCAGAAGCAACTATAGAGGCCTCAGACGTTTTCTGACAGAATAGAAATGGCAGGTGCTATATCCCAGTTTCTCGGCAAATGGGTGTTTTGGACCTCTGGCATACCAGCTATTTTGTGGAAGCACCCATGACACATGCTCAGCTGGTCACAATCACTAAAGTCAGGAGCAAGAAAGCCAGAACGAATTAGGCAAAGTAGAAACAATGAGAGTGGCAGCCGCATTTAGACTTATATACTGCTTCATAGCCTTCTTTAAGCGATTAAGAATCGGCATATTGCCTCCAACAATCTGGGTCCTCATTTTATCGACCTCAGAAGGATGGAAGGCTGAGTCAACCCTGGGCCAGTCAGGATCAAACTGATGGCAATCAGCATAATTAGCCTGCAATACTGCATTCTAACTACTGCGCCACTATGGTGCAGTGAGAAATTAAAACATTCATATTGTGCCCTGTCTAGAGTTTGTTTGAATCCTCTGAATGGACAGTGTGCTGTATTATTTGTATGTTTCCTAAGCTCTAAGATCAGTGTTTGTCAACCTTGTCACCTTTAAGATGTTTGGTCTATAATTCCCCAGAATGCTGGCTGGAGAATTCTGGGAGTTGAAGTCCACCTATCTTATTGAGGTTGAGAAACACTGTTCTAAACAGTTGGACCAGGATGGGGAGTAAAATAATTGAGCAGGCTATGATACTTACCAGAAGAGGACCTAACTGAATTACAGCTGTATCCGTCACAAACTGTCCACCATCCATTCAAAAAATAACCTTGATATAACCTAAACCTTAGCAATAAAGGACTTGAAGTGGTCACCAGCAACAGGAGAAAGTTTATGGAAGACAGGACATCATGCAGCCTCCTTGGAAAGTTCAGGGGGAAAAGCTTGTCAAAATTCTATGAAAAAAAAACAAAACAAAACCCAACTTATCTTCAAAATAAGGCAGTCCATCTAAAGTTCATCAGTCACCTGACCATACAAGTGAAGCATTCCACATGATATTTCTCTTGGACAATTGAGTTTTTTTTAAAAAAATGGCATGGTCTCAATTTTTTTGACAACAACCCTGCTGAGCAGGAGAGATTGGCATTTCTCAACCTCGGCTGGATAAATCTCAGAGCTGAAGTCTATACAGCTTCAAGTTGCCAAAGTTGAGAAACTCTGGGATAGATTAAATCAAAGAGGGATCAGACTGAGTACTTTGCCCTTAGACAGAAAGCGAGTTTGTCCCATGCAGGTTAAACCAAGCAGTCTTTCTAATTAATGAGACTATTGCAGTAACAGTGGTGAATTTCTGTAGCTCGGGTGTAGGATGAGGGTGAAGGGTCGTTCTCCAAGTTCGTGGGTTGGTTTCCCAACATTTCATTAGTAGGGTAGGTAACATCTTCAGTGGAGTTTAGGGGATATCAGTGTCAGTGTTCTTCTGTTTGTGTGATCAGTAGGTCTTGTGATGGGTCAGGTGTGGGTGTGTCAAGTGAGGGTCTTATGAGGGGTCTTGTGATGGGTCAGGTGTGGTGGGTCAAGTGAGCATCTTGTGATGGGTCTTGTGATAGGTCAGGTGTGGGTGGGTCAAGTGAGGGTCTTGTGATGGGTCAGATGTGGGTCAAGTGAGGGTCTTGTGATGGGTCAGGTATGGGTCAAGTGAGGGTCTTGTGATGGGTCAGGTGTGGGTGGGTCAAGTGGGGGTCTTGTGATGGGTCAGGTGTGGTGGATCAAGTGAGGGTCTTGTGATGGGTCAGGTGTGAGCCATCAGTAGGAGTCTTGTGATGGGTCTTGTGAGGAGGTTACATTAGGTTAGGGTCATTGGGAGGTGAAGTGCTAGTTGTGGAGGGCTTGCATGGGTGGGTTGAGAGACAGTGCTATCCCTGCGTGGTTGATTTGGATTCTGAAGGTTCACAGGCCGGTTGTAGGTCACTATGTCTGTGAATGGAATTGCTTGTGGTGTGCCGGGCTTTGATGAACTCACGAGCGTGGCAGGTGGTGGTGTAGCCAATGACTTTTGTGTTGCTCCAATTGAACTGGTGCTGTTTGGTGTCAGTGTGGATAGAGATTAAGGATTTGGGATCATGGTGTTTGACTGCCAGCTGCTGTTCCTGGATATTCCTTGGTTTCTATTATCCCAGAACTGTAGTAATACAGTAGTTCTCAACCCGTGGACCTCCAGGGGGGAGAGGTGCAATGTCATCACAGGGGGTCCATGTAGGCTTGATGCAGTCTAGTGCTTTAAATCTTGTTAAGTCCTGGTGGTCCATGGCCACAAAAGGTATTTACAAGGGGTGTGTGGTGAAGAAAAGATTGAGAGCCACTGAGGTATTTTATTTTGTAATGCTAGGAAAAGAGGGGCGGGAGTTGTAACATGGCTTCATAGTTCTTATCTTTGAGCCCTGCTGCAATCATAAAATACAAGTGGTAAATAAAGTGGCAGAAATATCCGTGGGGAGGTCAAAAAAGTCAAGATGGTGCACTTACCTATGCCATTGAAGGCCCACCAAATAAGAAGAGGGGCTTTTGACTGCTGCCACACTGCTGGCTTGTATTTAAGTGTTTATATTTATAACTTTATAAGTGTTTGCATTTATCGACAAGGGAACAATCTACCTGCTGCTACACATCTTGACTGCAGCTAGGCTTGCTTTAGCGCAAAAATGGAAGAGCAAGGAAATTCCCACAGAGGAAGAGTTAATATATAAAATATTAGCATGTGCAGAAATGGACAGGCTCATAATGATATTAAAAAATAAATGTGGATCAATTTATTATGAAACCTGGGATAAATTTTATTGCTGGAGGAATTTGAAGAGACGGTCGGGATTAAAGATGAATGTTAAGATAGAAATATATGTTATTTTAGAATAAGTATTGTATATAAAACTTAGATGTATATGTAGAGATGAAGAATTGATTGTAAAAAGTGGAATAATCTGATAAGAATGTATATACTGGAATGTCACGTTAAATCCAATGTTTGTTTGTTTTTAACTGTATTATAAATAAAATTTGTAAAAAAAAGTGTTTGTATTTATAACTTATTTAAATTAAGAGTTTAATGTTAAACTTTAATTTAAAAATAAATGTTTGAGCCAGATTTGTCTAGTGGTTAAGGTGCTAGCCTAGAAACTGGGAGACTGTGAGTCCTAATCCTGCCTTAGACATGAAAGCCAGCTGGGGATTTTGGGCCAGTCCCTCTTTCTCAGACCAATGAGTTGTTACGGAATATAGGAAAAGGAGGGAGTATTGTGTGTCTTCACTGGCTTAAGTTATTTATAAACAATAATAAAGGGGGATAAAAATCAAACAAATGAATAAAGGCTGCAAATCACCCAGAGTCTTGCGAGCGTTGTCTATGCCAACAAATGAACAATTTCTTAAAATAATTTAAATACTGCTGTTTTAACAACTGTAGTAATAACTCTTAAGCCTGTGAGAACATAAGGGGTTTCACTATCATCAGGACTGGTGTTATTTGGAGATGCCACAATCTGATGCTGTGATGATATGAAAGGTGTTATTGAGATGTTCTACATTGGTTCTGGGGCTTCTCCTGATATAACTGTACCCCGTGTTGTGCATGCACAGATGCCCCTTCCGTGGTCTTTGATCAAAGTTTCTGATAGCCCACTTCCTTGATACATCACTGGCAGAAAGAAAATCTAATGGCATTTCTGCTACTCAAAAACCTCTTACTCACAGCCATCTTTGCCTGGAAATTATCCTGTCTTCCAGCTTCGGACAATGCCTGATACACATCTCCCTTTCCTTCTCAACCCAGCAGCCAGAATCATTATGGTTTCCATGCCTTCCTTTGTGAGCCTCGGTGATGTCATAGATGCTATGCCCGTACGCTGGCCCGTGCAGTGGTTCTTCATGCTTGCACTTAGCAGTCTCCACCTCCAATCGCAAAAGAAGAAGTGAGCCAGCAAAATCTCACCTATTTTGGATGCAAGAGGCCTCTGGATCACTCTAAGGACAACAATACTGGGCTAATCTATCAACAGTTTTTTTCATCAGCAGCTGCTGTTTCCTTGATGGATTTATGTGCCATCAAATTGGTATTGACTCCTAGGGACCACATATATAGATGTTTTCCATGATGGTCGGTCCCAGCCTGCTCCTGCTCCCATCTCCACGGTAACTAAATCCATCAACGTTAATGCTGGTTCTCCACTTTTTTTCCTTCCACCTTTCCCAGCTTTCAGCTGAAATATTTTGTGTTTTTAATTGTATACTACTCAGGGCTGCTCTGTGATTTTCTGATTTTTCTGGCCATCCCCTGGCCTTACTTACCACATAATGATAATGTCAATGCTGCTAACATTGGATGTTTTTGCTTTGACAACAGATGGAGATGCAGCCATTTTCTTGTTTTCACTTTTAGAGTTAGATGATGCTGGGGAGGGTGTGTGTGTGCATGAGAGTTCAGCTAGACCAGGGGTAGGCAACCTCGGCTCTTTTATGACTCATGGACTTCAACTCCCAGAATTCCTGAGTCAGCATAGCTGGGAGTTGAAGTCCATGAGTCATAAAAGAGCCGAAGTTGCCTACCCCTGAGCTAGACATAACAACACTGAACTTAGCGTGAGAATCAAGGTTGTTGAAATAACATGATAAGAACTGGTGGGCTGGAGAGCTGGAGGGAAAGCCTGTGCTTTAAACTAATTGGGGTATGTGATTTATGACTGTTAATTGGAAGAGGGAATTGTGCTTTGATACTATGTGCTCATGGGGGGGGATTCAGTTTTTGGCTTCAATTATGTTAGTGCCGATGTTATGCTTCTCGAATAAAGATTCTTTAAGGTAAACAATGCCTCGAAGTTCCTTGAGGAGTTTCATCTATCGGAACCATGACAGATAAATTCACTGCAGGAAATATACTAAAATGGATTAAAAAGAAACTCTCAGGAAGGTCTGGAAAACTCACTTAACAGTCTTGGAAATTCACAGACTGCTGAACAACATGAGAATGAAAACAGCTCTGAGATAGCTAAAAAAAAAAGTGACCATGTGGCCTTACTTCTGATTGAGAGACATCCACTGAATGAGATGCATTTTTAATAATGCAATTTAAAGGCAGTGCACCAAATTTGTCCTCTGTTCTGGAAGAGGGTGTTTTGCACTCCAGGCAGAACTGTCACACTAAAATTAATGTATTTTATGAATGGCGTAGATAATCAGGTGGGCGGAACAGAACACTTTTGCTATGACTTTGACCATTCAAACGGGAATGGTCCCCTGTGTCAAGCAGGGCTCAGAGAAGCTCTCTGGCATTCCAAATGCAGGACATCCCACTGATTCAATGACATCACCAGTTGGAATGCCAACATCCAATCAGGCTCCAGAACTTAATCTGGGTTCATAAAGAAGAATGCCTATATCTGTGAAGGTGGCCCTCAGGAATCATGCTTCAGACGTCTCTGACTCTTCTCTTTATGCCACCTTCAAACAAGCCAAAAGGGTTCATGAGACCAACTATACCTGGAAGGGGGGGGGATGGAAGAGAGGGATAGAGAATGAGAATCTGTGCAGCAGATCTGTGCATCTACCAATAAAAAAAAACGATTTGGCAATCAATCAGCAAGGATTTCTGATTCTTAATTACCCAACCACTAGGCTTCTGAAAAACAAGCATTTTGGGATAAATCAAGAGTGGATTGGAGGGTGGGTAGGTTAAAAGAATCTTGATTCTAGCACTGATCATGGCTACCTGGAATGAGCATGCATTCAGATAGATCAGGGGTGTCAAACTGCTGGCCCGCAGGCCGGATGCATCATAGCAAAATTGTGCCCACCCCATTGCCGGCAATGGCAAAAAAGTCACGATACGTCGTGACATGTCACATGATGTTGTGAGTTTGACACCCCTGAGATTGATGTTGTTCCTTCTATTTGACTCTTCTATTGCTATATTGGACCTTATTTGGTATTTTCTGTTTGGATTTGCTCCTTGTAGGAGATGACCAGGCTGAACCTGAGGGAGGGGTCAAATGTATCATCAGTCATGAGTCCTTGCATGCCCACAAGAGATCTAAGTTCAGCCCACCTCGAATTCCTTTCTGTTTCTTATCTCTCACTCATTTCCCTTGACCGTTAGTAGTTCAGATTCTTGTAGACAACTTAAGCTTGCAACAAATCTTCATACTCATTTGAACTGCCTAAATATCCTGATTTCCCTGGTGCTTGATACTCCTGACATGCACCTTCTATCTTAATCTACCTATGGATTTGTATTGGTTGATAATTGCAGTTTCTCCATTTTCCCTCCCTGGTTCTATCTACCTAATCCACAATGTAACCTTGTCATATATTCTAGAGCATGGCTCTCCAATGTTGGCAACCTTAGGACTTGTGGGCTTCAAGTCCTAGAATTCCCCAGTCAGCATGGGAGTTGAATTCCACAAGTCTTCAATTTGCCAACTTTGGAGAGCCCTTTCTGTAGAGTAAAAATCATGTACCATACAGGACATTTTTTTTTTAACCAGAAACAGCTAATCCTATGAATTCTTCTCAAGAAGAATTGTTGAAGACCTTCTCTCCATGCAGGGCAAAAGGTGTGAAGGTCTGGGAGGCATCCCTTTTGGGCACCTGAGAAGCAGGGAACTTCCACTTGGCTTACTTTTGGCACATTAGTCAAGACCATCTTATTCCACAGAGCCTTGGTTACGCTTTTATTGTGATGTCCTTTTTCTCTTAATTTGTGATGGTCCAATTTCATTTTGACCATGGCGATATTACTAGATCCTGCCTTTAATCATTGGAAGTAGACAGTGGTGGGATTCAAATATGTGAACAACCAATTCTCTGTGTGGATGCTGCTTCCAGAAGTCCATTCTGGGCCTGGGCAACAAAAAATTAGCTACTGGTTCTGCAGAACTGATGCGAACTTGCTGAATCCCACCACTGGAAGTAGAGCAATCTAGAAATAATGTTATAAATAAATAAATACCTAACAAGAAGGCCAGAAGACAAGCGACACAACCTACATAAAAACCAAAGGATGGTGATAGATATATATCCTCTGTATTGATCTCAGCTCTAATCCTAAAGCAGATAATCATCAGAGCAAATAGCAGAAAGATGCCTAAAGACAAGAAAAAAGAGGCTTGGTCCACATGTGTTCATGCCCCACCATTTTAGCCCTTACTTCTGCTTGGCTGGGATTATACAATGTGATAATAGCTAAGCCTTGGTTAACAAAAACTAATAAGATCTCATCTAACAGGAAATGCCCAAATAAAGGAATCACATGATTTAATGTGATGACCTGATTCACCCAGCATGCAAATACAGTGGCTGGATTACCCAGATTAAATGCTGAGTCATAAAAGATCCAAGCATTTGGGAGGGAGGACAAATTTGGCCTGTTGTTCAAGCCCAAATGTTACATCTCGGCTTGTGAGCTTTGCCCCTCCATGAATCTCTCACCCTCAATCCATCAATATCTTTGGTTTCCCTTTAATACTATCTTTCTGACTTCAACTACCAGCTATGAGGCCTGAACAACCAGCTCCACATGTGCAGAGTTTGAGCTACCGTATTTTCTGGTGGATAGGGTGATCCGGCGTATAAGACGACCCCCGACTTCGGCGCCGAGTCGCATGCCTAGAAAGTCATCTTATATGCCGGAAACTACCGTTATTTCCGGCGTAAAAGACGACTCGGCGTATAAGACGATCCCCGATTTTGGCGCTGATTTCAACACTCTCAAAAGTCGTCTTATACGCCGGAAAGTATGGTAACTACTTTATTATGTTCTATCTATAATACAGGAATCTTTCCAGTCTGGTAGCCTATTGTTGAGAACAATTAGATAAGGCTTGAAGGAAATTGGGGAGAGAGTGGTCCTTGTCCTTTTGCAGTTGCACAGTGACTCCAAGCTAACCCCGCATATAATCCCTCCTCCCGCTAGTCTTGGTTTGCTTCCCAACACCAACAATGTCCTCCAATGCAACAGTTTTTAAGCCACTGAAAGGGGGACTTCCCTAATGCTCCTTTTGAGGACCAAACCTGTCAACTAATTGAAACATCTACTGATGTAAGATTTTATTTCCTCATTTACCTTCCTTTCTTCAACCTGAGACCTGAATGGATAGTCATTTGAGATGTTTAATTGCATTTCCCCTGCCCCAAATACCTGCAAAGAAATTAGCCAGGGAAGAAATCAGGCTTTTAGAGAGTGTCGTATGAAAGAATTGGGCAAGGTTGTCCTGTGATAAAATCAGGGAAATTAAAGAGCTGATGAAGGCCAATAGTGATAACCACTGGGCAGTTTGTAGCATTACTGGAGACACTGAAGAAGGAAGAGATATTGCATGATAAGAAACCAAGGATTCTTAAGCCAAAATGGAAACAATGACAGTGCACATCACGTGTCATATATACTATCCCACCTCCCCATAGGCTTCCAAAGGTCTTACTACCATGTTTCAGCAACCAAATAAGCTCCAAATTCAGTATTTAAGCTTGTGGTAAGCTATGTGTTTTTCTTCAAAGTAAAACCTTTGGGTGATATGGCACTTGCAACATTTGACGACCTCTATAACAGGACTTTTCAACCAGTGGTATGGGTATCACCTGTGGTACATTGGCACCTGGCAAGTGGTATGCGACCATCCTAGAAAAGTGGTAGGAGGGGAGGGGAATGAGCTGAACCGGTGGCAGCACCGCACAAGCCTGAGTGAGAGATGACTGGAGCTGCAGGGCTGTCAGGGCTCAGTGGAAGCGCCAGAATCAGTGCCAGGCTCCAGCTGGAGCTCAGCACTGATCCTGGCACTTCTGCTGA